TCCAACTATTTGCCTGGGCTGGCTTCAAACTGCGATCCTCCTGATCTTTGCCTCCTCAGTAGCTAGGATTAGAGTGAGCCACTGGTGCCCTGCTGTTTGTTTGTTTTGAGATGGGAGTCTTACTATGTAACCCAGGCTACTCCCAAACTCCTAGGCTCAAGTTATCCTCCAGGTGTGTGCTACCTTGCTTAGTAGGCAAAACTATTTTTATTAAAGAACCCTAGAGAAATAATTAAGAATGTCAGCAACATCTTAAATATAATTGTTTATCACACCATTGTTTTAAATGGTGAAAAACTGGAGGGAGAAAAACCCCACTAATGTCAGAAACAGATTTCTTGGGCAAGTTTTTATAGTTCATAGATGGATTTTAATATAATCATTCAAGTTAAGTTGTACAATGTAAGAAAGAGCCATGTCCAGAGCTCCTGTGATGTTTGTTCTTGGGAGAGGTTTGAGAGCTGCACTTAGCGCAGTTTGTCTAGGTACCTGGTATGCTTTCATTTGGAATGCAGCAGGACATGGCCACAGAGAGCTTTACATTTCAACTCTGCAGCTGGCACCAACTGTGGGGAACACATGGGCAGCACTCACCATTCACTCCAATCCCACCACTTTATAAAGTGCCAGCCTGGATTACAGGGGCTAGACAGCAAAATCCTAACACTTGCCCGATCTCTTCTACTAGGGCTCTGGATGTGAATTAGGGCTCAAGCACCAATTGAGATTGGGTGAGACCATCTTCTTACTACTGCCAATGCTGTGGAGTGAGCTCGATTCCTCTTTCAGGCATTTAGTCTATCAGCAGATCATGCTGACTCCATCTTCAAAGTAAATATCTACTCTCACCACTTCCTTCCACCTCCACTATCACCACCCTTGTCCCTGCTACTGCCATCTGTGGCCAGGCTGATTGTCCCAGCCCCGACCGTAGCCCTGCCCTGCCCTTGCCTCACCTAGCAGCAAGGCGAAGATACTCTGAAAACCTACACAGGGGTGCTTCCAGCTGCCCCCCCATTGAAGAATGAAGCCAAAATCCTCACAGTGATCTAACAGCCCCCTCTCCTGCTGCTCCTTCCCTAATCCTTCAGCTCCAAGTCAGTCTCCTTCTTGTCCGTTCCCTCCGTTCACTCTCCCTACCTGATTCTGTTGCTTCCCTTCCTTAAATGAGACCTTTCCACTGAGGTCTGTCCTACTCACTACCACCTGCCCACCACTACCAACTCCTCACCTCCCTTTTTTTTTTTTTTTAAATGGGGTTCCAAGCTGGGAGTGGTGGAACACAGCTATAATCCCAACACATGGCAGGTTGAGGAAGGAAGATGGCAAGTCCGAGGCTAGCCTAGGCTGCACAGTGAGAAGATCCTCTCTTACAAAAACCAAAACCTGAAAGAAAAGAGAGGCTGGGTGCTGGTGGCTCACGCCTGTAATACTAGCTACTTGGAAGGCAGAGATCAGGCTGGTTCGAAGCCAGCCCAGGGAAATAGCTCATGAGACCCTTTCTCAAAAAAGCCCAACACAAAACAGGCTGGCAGATTGGTCAAGTGGTAGAGCCCCTGCCTAGCCAGTGTGAGACCCTGAGTTCAAACCCCACTCCCCTGCCAAAGAGAGAGAGAGAGAGAAGAAGGAAAAGAAACAAGAGCCCATTATGTGGCCCAGGGCAGCCCCCAACTCCTGAGCACCACACCCAACAAATAAGCCTCTTTTCCTTTACAGAGCCTAGTGTTGAGGCTCAATTCAGTTGGACCACAGTTATGTCTCAGAGGACTAACATTGTCTTTAATTATTTCAGCTAACTCACAAATGCTCAGTAACATGGAAGAACTGCATGCATTTCTGACTGAGATGGAGCACATGACAAAACAGCATATAATAGAATTTTGGAGTCTGAAAGACTACGGACTAAAATGTTAAAACTGGCTTACTTAGAATTAAAGTGACATTGAACACTAAAAAAAAAACCCAAAAAACAAAAAACAAACAAACCAACTCTACCTAGGGCTAATGGGGTGGCTCAAGTGGTAAAGTGCCTGCCTAGCAAGCATGAGACCAAGTTCAAACCCCAGTATTGAAAAAAAAATTCTACCTAGATGTACCTTATGATTTTACAATATATTTTTTTTAAAAACATGATGGCTGCTATTACAGACTGTCTACTTAACTGCTCCTCCAAGTTTCTCCCTAACAAAACCCTTTCACATAGGCTTACAGCATGTCCAGGGCCAGGGAGTGAAGTCACCTACTCTTCCTCTTCAACAGTGCTATATGCAGTCCTGCTCTTAGAGACTCAGGGGCAAGTCTCCTGGGGCTTCTGATAAGAGCAGAATGAAGAGAAAGCTTCTTTATTGCTGCCTACTGCCTACCGCATTGGTTTTTGCTATAATTTGATGTGGTGTGTTCCCTAAGGGTTCGTAGACTGGAGGTCTGATCCCTAGTATGGTGGTATGAAGAGGCAGTAGAACCTGTAAGAGGCAGAGCCTAGTGGGAAGTGGTTAGGTCACAGGAAACATCACCTTTGGGAGGGATTAATGCTAGTGTGATGGAGTTAATTCTAAGGATGGGTTGTTATAAAAGTGCAAGCCTGGCCCCTGACCCCTCTCTGGCTTCCCTTCCTGCCATTTGATCTCTCTCTTGCATGCATGACCACCATTATACCATTCACCATGCTGTGATGTAGTCAGAAGGCCCTCATTAGAGTCAGCAGGTACTGGTGTCATGCTCCTGGACCTCCAAAACCGTGAATAAACTTTTACAAAATAACCAGCATTAGGTATTTTGCTATAGCAAAAAATACAATTTTGGACACTGGTGTTTGAAGAAATGATATTGAGAGTTGTAGCAGCCATTTTTGACACTGAGGATGTCCAAGGAAATGGATCCAAGAAAATCTTGATGACATTTTGGCTGCCACCCAATTCTGGAACCACTTATCTCTAGACTCTTTGCTGCATGATAAACATCCTTATTGTTTAAGTCACAGTCAGTCTACTTTTGTGTTACTCGTTCAGATTACAAGTTGTCTGTTACAGGCACTTACCTGTCTGGCACCCAATAAATAATTCATGTTCACCCTAATTTAAAAGTAATTTTTAAAAGCAACCATAATCTTGTTCTTATGGAAAGTAAAATTGAGCTTAGGAAGTGTTTTTTTTTCCTCCCATTACTGATGGAGTTGAATCTAAAGCCAAACTAATTCTAAAACTTACAGTCACTTACATAAACAAATGAAAAACCCTATCATTTTACTTCTAACAGAATGTATATACACAGATACAGGTAGTAATAAATTTGCACCCATTTGCACCCACACATGAATTTGCCTTTGGGCTTTTCTTCCCTGATATTTGCACAGATTTGTTGGTATTAAATGTGTGCTTCAGAGGCTCAGTCAAGAAGGCAGACTTGCCTCATGTTTTTCTCACATTTCTTGATGAGATCTAATTTGTGTATCAGGCATCTAGTGACAGGCAGTGAGGACTGTGATGCAGTTGTAAGCTTCATTCCTCAAGACATCAGAGTTGGTGAGATGAACACAAAGGTGATATATATTCTACCTCAAGCTTTCTTGGAAAAATTTTTAAAAACTGCTGGGTCCACATGGTGGTGCATACCTGTAATCCCAGCACTTGGGAAGTGAAGGCAGAAGGATTGAGTTTAAAATCAATCTGGGCTACATAGAGACCCGGTATCAAATAAACCCAAAGAACTAGACTGCAGAATACATCTAAGGACACAGGGCCATTGGGTTAGTCAAAAAAAAAAAAAAAAGCAGAAGGGTATTTCTGAGCCAAAGAAACAGCACACACAGAGAGAGAGAATTACAACAGCAACCCAAGAGCAGTACACCAGCTTTAAAAGAACAAAGGGCTGGAACCTAGAGCTAATCAAAGCTGTCTTAGACCAAACAGGACTTCCACAGTACATCCTTCTAAGGAACCCTTTCTACTCGTTTCTATAGTAAGAAAATATCAGAGCACTACTCAACAGAGCTAACACAGCTTTTGGTTCCAAAAGGGGCAAGGTGGTCACTAAAAATTCAACCTCCCTCACAACAGCTGGCTGGGTAGCTTATGGGGCTCTACAGAAAAAGCCCCACTTGTGCTAAACAAGTGACAGGCTAGAGGAGCAGAAAAAGCAAGGCCAAAAGAACATGCATCTAAAAGCTCTGGGGCCACCTGGCAGTTCTCACTGGGCTTGGCACTCACTGGTTGCAGAAGCTCCACACTAAGACACCACCAGCATGGGGGTGAAGCTTTGCTCCAACCTGCAAACATTTCCACCCTACTAACAAAGGCAGGTACAAAGCTGCTTCTCCAGGCTCTCTACAGAGCCCAACGACCCATGAAGGCAGCAAGATCACAGGCTCATGAGCCCCACGGTGAGCTTGGCAGCAGGGACCGGGGTCCACACTGAGCAAGGGGACCTGGTGATGCTAGAATGGGAGGCAGAGGATGCCTCTCAAACACAAAGTTGTTTTTGTTTTTTTTTTGTGGTACTAAAGTTTTAATTCAGGGCCTCAGGCAGGTGGTCGACTGCTTGAGAAACACTCCCTGGCCATCAAACACAAAGCTTTTGAAGTAGGAGGTCACTTGTTCAGTGCCAATTCCTAGCTTCTGTATTATCAAGGGTTTTTGTTTTGTTTTAGTACTGTTGTTTGGTTGGCCACAGGTTTGAGAAATATTTTAATGGAAGCTAGATGAGTACTGGCTATTTACTGCAGAGGTGGAGGTACAGAGAATGAGCACCTGATTAAGAGTACTAGGAAATAAAAGGCACAGAACATTCACAGCATCAGGCCCAGGGTGGAGATGAAGTAGAGTAATGAAGAAGGGCTGGGGTGTGGCTAGATGGTAAAGCCCTGGGTTTGAGCCTCAGCATGATTTATGGGGGAGGACGGAAGGAGGGGAGGAAAGAGACCAAAAGTGGGGATCTGAGCAGTTGTACTCAGTTCTTTAGTGACTCTTATAATGACCATTTAGTTTGAAAACAGACTCAGACAAAGAAAAGGGAAACATTTATTGAGTGCCTACAGGTATGTATGTCCGGTCTTGTGCAAGGAGTTTTCATCCACAATATTCCACTGGATCCTCACACCAACCCTGTGAGGTAGGTATTTATCCCCACTTTTGTTAGATGAGGAAGACGAGGCTCAGAAAGGTTAGGTAGTTTGTCCAAGGACACAGAACTGGGAACCAAAGAGCCAGGACTGAGTACTTAAGTCTCATACTCCATCCCAGCTCTCTTTCCAGCCTGCCTCCTGGGAGGAAGGAGGGAGCAGAAGCCAAAGCTGCAACCCTTATACTTCCAACCCCTTGCTGCCCACGGCCCTGAGAGAAGGAGCCTACTTTGGGAAGGTGCAGTCAGCTGAAACTCAGACATAAATATAAATATAAAAATAAATAGCAGGTATAAGTCCCCTGCAGGGAGGATGTGCCATCCATATCCATGTTGTGGGAAGGTCACTGTGCCATTCACAGCTGCCCAGGAAGGGAGCTGCGTGGGCTCTGGTGGTGGGGGAAACTAGGACGATGGATGCCAAAAGCTGAAGTGGGTGGGCTAAACAGGCCCCTTCTGGGTCGCATGGATTCAAGAACAAAATGTCTGGAGCAGGCAGCAGCCGTGGGCAGAATCGCCATCCTCCTCCATCTGCTCATTTTACCGGTGTTTGTGATCCAAGAGGGATTCAAAATCCGGAGAACATACAAGTTTGTGCTTCACATGTCCCAGGACTGTCATCTCCCCCGTCTTATTGTCTCCAAGGCTCACAGACACCAGCTCCTGCCAATGGACAAACACACCAGTGAGAACCACAAGCCCATGCCGAGCCCTCAGTCTTGTGACTGACATGATAGCTCAAAAACTCCCCATGCTTCCTTAGCACTACCTCAGCAAAACACATGCTAGCTCACCCAGAGCCCCTCCCTGGCCCATGGGTTCAAACCTGCAGGAAAGAACAGGTGGTTCCCATCGTCACATCCAGGGTCACCTTGCCCAGGAGGAGCTGCACCTTCCCTGACTTGCGGATGAGCAGCTTGCCCACCTGACCCTCTGTCAGGTCAACCAAGGTACAAGTGTTCTCTGCCAGCTTGGCTTCCTGTGGAGAATCAGCAGATGAAAACTGGGCAAGGGGCTTGTTCCTCCATCTCTCGTGAGCAAACCCCATTCTACTTCCCAGAGAGGTATCGGCAGCAGAGGTCTCCCCAAAGAAGGCCTTGTCCTGGTCCTGTCTGGCACTGGCTATAAAACAAAACCCAAAGCAAACAAGCAAATGGAAAAAAACATTCATAAATGCTGAAACTGAATTATGGTACACAGTAGTTTGTGATCTCTCATTTGTCTATTCTCAAAATTACTCATTATAAATAGTAAACACAGCTGCACTGGTGGCTCACATCTGTAATCTTAGCTACTCAGGAGGCAAAGATCAGGAGGATTGAAGTTCGAAGCCAGCCCAGGCAAACAGTCTGTGAGACCCTATCTGAAAAAACTCATCACAAAAAAGGGCTGGTGGAGTGGCTCAAGGTACCAAAGGGGGGGGGAGGGAAGAAAAAGTAAACACACATATACACAGAACTGATGTTGGAAGTCCAAGAACCCAAAGCCCTTGTAGGTGCTAAGAACGAACACCCGCCATTCTCACACTTTGGCTTGGGCAGTATACCTTCACTTCTCCCTGCCCATCACCTTCTGTTCCTGGTGTCCCTGCCCTGAAATTTCCCCAGAACTCACTCCTGAGCATACCCGAACTCACTCCTGAGCATACCCGGTCTCTCTCCTGCTTTATGACCACCATTTGTCCGTCCTCGCCCTGCACCTCTGTCTTGACAGGCTTGATGTCCTGAGTGGGTGGCTGGCCAGGGAGGGTGTCGGGCAGCTGGAGGAATAGCAGCTCCTCATCTTTGGTGAGGCTCAGCTCCCTGAGTAGCTCGGCCACAGACACATCTTTTGGGAGGCCTGGGGTCTTTCTGGCTGCTCTGGGAGGGGCCTTCACCTTGGCCTCCTCCTCTTCATCTCGTGGCTCTTCTTTCACTGCACGAGATGAGACAAAGGGAGAGATATTAAGCAGCTATTGTCTATGCCATCTCTTGTTCCCAGTCCTCACTCCCGTCTGTCCCACTGTCACTCAGCCAAGAAGCTGGGGGGAGACACTGGTTATGGAGACAGGCAAGAGACAGTACATTCAAGAGGTGCATGACTTCTCTAAAAAGGAACGCCTGAGGCTGGGCACTCTGATCTACACCAACAAACCAACCCTCTGAGAGGGGAGTTTATGTCTTTGTCCAGCACCTTTACATTAGAGCTGGAATGGAAAAAGAGTTGCTTGTGAGCAGCAGTCCTGGAGGCTCATGTGAGGGCTTTCTGGGGTAGCCAGGAAGAAGAGAGAAGTAACTGACACAGAATACCTTTTACAGCAGGCATGTCCACCTCCATGTCCTCTTCCTTGGGGCCAGCCAACCAAGGCTTAACATCTGCTTCTTCACTCTCCTCCTTAAAAAGCCACCCTGAATGTGCCAGCGGCAGCTGCACAGGCATGTTTCGTGTGTCATTCCTTAACCCAGGGTCATCGATGAACTGCCAAAGAAGAGTCAGGTCACACAGCCTGCCAGCACATATGCCTGCACTTTAGTCTTTTTCTAACCAAAGGTCCTTGCTGCTCACCAGAGTTCCAGGATATCAATGAGCTCTTCCTCCAGACTGGCTCCCAGAGGCCTCCTTCTGTAGCCATAAGGAAGCCCACCAACCCCACCCCAGCCTCCTGCTACCTACATCATCCTTCTCCAGCATGCGCAGGATCTGCTTAGTTTCTTCATCAGTCTCCCTCTTCTCTTTTTTGATGTTGATAATATGAGAGGGTCCCACATCCGACACATCCACAGTCTTATCCCAGTTCCCTGTGGGAAAGCACCCTGTTCACTAGGGATAAATCAGGAAAGGGGCAATAGCAAGGAAAACTAAACTGGGAACAAGGGAGTCCCTCACTCTTGCCCTTTTCTTGGGCAGTCTGAACTGAAACCCACTACGGATCTCTTCCTAGTACCTTTTTTTTTCATCATTTCGGCGGGACCCTGCTCAAAGATAGAGTGGGACTGGATCACTTCTGGACGGCCACGGCCCCGTCCATGCCCCTCACGCTGGCGGTCTCTATCACGTTCACGCTTCTCCTTCTTCACAGTAATTTCTTCCTTAGGCCTGGAAAAGAGAATGAAGGGAATATACTCACTTTCTCTGCCTTGAAAAACCAGCCCTCCTCACCAAACCATTTCATCCAACTGAGCATAGCGTTTATGAGCCAAGAAGTAGAACTCAGACTTAAGTCTGGTACTTTCCTCAACTCCCTGATGAGGCAGGGACCTTCCAGTTTGCTTTACTTTACCTTCTTGTCCAAAAATGTGGATTTATTTTCATTGACTGAAAGCAGGAAGGCTGGAATAAAAAAGAACTTAAGGGAAAGTGTAATATATGTTTAAGCTAATGGCTCTCATTTGGCTGTAAAAGAGAATCACTTGGGCTGGTGGAGTGGCTTTAGTAGTAGAACACCTGCCTAACAAGCACGAGGCAAAGTTCAAACCCAGGTACTGCCAAAAAAAAAAAAAATAGTAGAAAGGAATCACTCCATTCCACTGTGAGTGAAATCAGTTTCTAGAGATACAGTTCTATAGCACAGATCTTAACTCCCCCAAAGGTCCATGTGTTAAAGGTTTAGTCTCCAGCTTCACTCTCTTGGGAGATGATGGAATCTTGAAGAGTCAGGGCCTAGTGGAAAGTCTTCTAGTCGTTGTGGCATGTGTCCCTGAAGGAGACAGTAGAATCCCAGTCCCTTTCTCTTCCTCTTTGACTCCCTCAGGGGTTGCCTCACCACAGGCCCAAAAGTAAGGAAGTCAATTGATCATGGACTGAGACCTCCAAAACTGTGAGCCAAAATAAATCTTTTCTCTTTATAAACTGATTATGTCAGCTATTGGTTACAGTAACAGAATTCTGACTAACATATGGTACTTCAGGCTTTGGTGTGTTTAAAAGTTGTACACTAGAAAAACCCAGAAGTTAAGGCTGAAAAATCGTTAGTGAGAAGAACATAAATCCAAATTTCTGAGACACACACCTAGTTACTTCCCCAAAGCCCCTAATTCAGAGCAAGTAAATAAGGGGCAAGTATCCAGAAGACCTAGCTACTTACTCTTCCTTGATCTTCCGACTGATGATATTTGGGGTGAAGGTTTTCTGAAAGTAAAATACAGGAGTCACTGATTTGGTAAGTTTGACCCCCAAGTGCAGAGGAAAAGATGCTTAGCGGGCATCTTCTACACACCAAGATCACCATGGTTCTCCTGCACATTGCACACCGTTGTCAGGGCTTAAAGCAGTGGGCAGGTGTCTGAAAAGAAGGACCTGCATGCCTCTGGAAGCAATGGAATTACACTTAGCAGAAAGGGGTACCGAAAACCATTCTAACTAGCAGCCTCTGCTTCAGCCCTCTGAAAGGAGACTCCGGACCTCCAAAAGCACAGGAACTGACCTATCACACCTCATCTTCGAAATTCTAGTGAAACCTCTTGGTTTCACAGGGAAACAATTCTAGCAGAAAGGTTTAAATAAGGAGACAGTAGACCTGCCAGCACTCACAACTGGATGACCCAGGCAAACTATAACTAGAAACAACTAAGATATACTTCTGAGAAGTTTCCAACGCAGTCTTTTAAAACTGTCTGCTTGGGCTTGGAGGTATGGCTCAAGGGGTACAGCACCTGCCTAGCAAGCAGGAAGCCCTGAGTTCAAACCCCAATACTGCCAAAACAACAAAAACTGGGTGCCTTATGCTTCTGTCATCCTGCCTGTCCCTTACAGGGTTACTCTTAACATCTCCAGTCACACACATAAAGGGAGAGGTCACAGAGCCCCTAATGCCAGGCCTAGGATTCGTTACAATCTAGATTAGAAGTTTGCTTACTGGTATCCATACAGAATTCTGAACCCTCAAAACTGCAAGCAAAAGATACACCTGCTTGGCTTTCACGGGATTTTAAAAGGCGTCCAGAACGCACAACCAAAGTAAATATGGACTGCTCAACTCTCTTTTTAAATGTCCTCAGCTAAATAGGATCTCTGCCCTTCAATTACCTGTGAGAACAAGCTCACCATCATGTACCCTGCACCTGCACTTGGACGTTGTTTAGGCTTCCTAGAATTTGAAGAAGGGTAGGAAAGAAATCTGGGGAAAAGATACAAGAGGCCCAACATCGCATCAGGCCGCGCACGAACGTGAGTTGAATGCCAGTGACCTGGAATTCACGGTGGTTGGTTTCTTTAGTCAGTCAGGTACCTTCTTGACTCCCCCGAGGGTGAGGTCCCGGGAGCGGATGGAGGGAAGGCGGCCCGGAGTTAGGGAGGGCGCGGGCCGCCGCCCGACAAGCCCCCGCGCCCCCGAGAGGAGGGGTCGCGGCCCTCCCGGAGCGCTGGGCTCCCCCGCAGCGTTTCCTTCAGACATGATGCCTGGGAGAAAAGGGGCAACGAAGTCACTCCAAAGCAGCAACGCGCCGAAACCTGGGCGGAACCCCACCCACGTGGCTTCCCACCCCCTCCCCCGCAGTGCGTGGCGCGCGCGGCGTCTCAGCTCCTCCCCCTCCCACGTGGCGCGCCTCCCCCGCCCCCTACCCCCGCTAGAGTTTTTGGCTCGCTCCTGGCCATCTCCCCAAATCCCCGTGCTCGGTACGAGGGGCTGGGACGTACCTGGGCGGTGGTTCCACACTACGCGTCACGACTTCACGCCCGAAGCGACCCGGCACAGGCCCTCCGCCTCAGCACCGAACGGAAGTCTGCGTGGCAAGGCCCGGGCGCTGCCATCTTGCCGCGGGGCGGAAGTGACGTCAGGGGGCGGGGCCACAGCATAGTATTTATCCGACGGCGGCGGGCTGCCCTCCGCCTTCTCTTCCCGGTTCTTCCCGGAGTCGGGAAAAGCTGGGTTGAGAGGGCGAAAAAGGACGAGGGGGCCGGTGGTGGCTGCGCTGCAGTGTGGCTCTCAGAGGTCTTGGCCCCGGGCAGGGGGACTGGCGGCGCCGAGCTCTGGATCCGGGTCCTTGGAGGTCACCACGCTGCAATGTGGGGAATAGCCTTAGGGGAGCCTCTGGCGACAGTGGGGTCGCATGTCCGGATTGGGCGCGGGACGGGGAGCGCAACCTGGAGTCAGAGTCGGGGAGACCTGGTGTTCTCCCTGATGACCCTGGAGTGGTCACTGCACCCTCGGGCAGCGGCCTCATCCTTGCTTAGGAGCCCCTTCCCAGGACTGGCGGGGGTCCTGGGGTGGGCTTATGGGGACAGCCCTGGAGCTGCTGGAGTAGACCAGCCAGTGCCTTACCCACGCTTGCCCCGGCTCACGGTTGTCCAGGGCCTTGTGTGCCCACTCAAGTAAAAGCCTGGAAGACTGAAAACGAAGTTGACGCTACTGCTGGAGAGACGAGTGGAAAGAACTTTTATTGTGACTTCCACACTTTCAATTTAACCTAAAAAATGACCTTCAGTGTTACTCTCCTACCTCCCAAACTATGTAGAAACCATGTAACACCATTACATAATTTGAGGGGAGGAAACCATTTCTGCGGGAATTCCACAAAATGATACTATTAAAATGTTTTTGATAGGGCTGCCAGAGTGGCTCAAGTGGTGTAAGAGGACCTATCTAGCAAACAGCAACCATGAGGCTGTGAGTTCAAGTCCCAATGTTGCCAAAAAAACCAAAAGTTGATGGTAGGTGCCAGTGGTGCATGCCTGTAATCCTAGCTATTCAGGAGGCAGAGATCAGGAGGATGGAGGTTCAAAGCCAGCCCTGGCAATTAGTGGCTCAAGCGGTAAGAGGACTTGCCTAGCAAGCACGAGCCCCTGAGTTCAAACCCCAGTGCCACAAAAAAAAAAAAAAAAAAAGTTAGTGATATACCCAGTCCCCTTCACAGAGCTGTTATATTGTGCCACAATTTTCCAAATAGCATTTCTTTTTTGCATGAAATGACTAATTCTCAAAAGGCTCTATCATGATTTTCTCTATTTCCCTGTTTGGACACATTTTCCCTGTTTTAAATAACGCTGTACTGAACATGAGGTACATTCATCATTTTTTCTTTTTTGGATTATATCCTGTGTTAGAATCAGTGGTGGTCCATTTTCAAGGCATTTAACCCTAGTTGCTTACTTGCCTTTCAGCTTGTGGATGTTGGGAGAGGGGCAATTGATAAGGGAACTTAATCTGGGTGAGGTAAATCACGATAGAGTGAGCGAATGGGTTAAGTGCCAGAAAAGCACGTATCACATGGAGAACTTGCCACCACAAAGGTAGATAACCACCTAAAACCCGCCTCTAAAAGTTGACCAATTTCAAGAAGCATATTTTAAATAACCCAGTAGGAATTAGGTGAGGGCTTGTGAAAATCAGCCAGTGAGGACTTGAGGGAGGGACTTGCACACTAAACAATATAATGTTCATTTACTGTAACAGCTTCTGGGGTCTCTGCTTTTCAAGCACTGGACCTTCCTTGCAAGGTCAGCATTAAAGTTTCACTTTCACCCCAGTGTCTCTGAGCCCATTCTTTTGAGTTTGAACAGGTGAGCATATTTCTCACACTGAGGACAGATTTCCAGACCTGGGATAACTGACCAAAAGATGTACATTTTTTAAAAGTAAACTCTTATTTCTAGATCATTCAGTTTATAAAAAATAATGCAGAAAGAGTTGGAGGTATGGCTTAAGCAGTAGAGCTCCTGCTTTGCAAGGCCAAAGCCCTGAGTTCAAACCCTAGTCCCACCAAAAAAAAAGAAAGGAAAAAAATGCAGAAAGATAGGGAGATCCCAAGTTCTGTTTGCTTTGCTCCCCAGTAGTAGCATCTGGCAAAACTATAGGACAATGTCCCAACATTTTTACAGTCAGGATACAAGACATTTTCATTACCACAAGGATCCCTCTAGTTGCCCTTTTCTATACACACATCCTTCAGCGCTGCTCCTCCCACCACTAATCTGTTCTCCATTTCTATAATTTTGTTATTTCAAAAGTTCTAGAAATGGAATCATACAGTATGTGACTTCATGGGGTTGCTTTTTAACTCAGCATTACTCCATGGAGATTATCCAAGTTGTGTATCAATAGTTTGTTCTTTTTATTACTGAATATCTGTGGTTGTTGTAACCATCCTTTGAAGGACATCTGAGTTGTTTCCAGTTTGGGGCTATTATGAATAAAGTTACTGTGAATAAACATGTACATGTTTCTTTTGTAAACACAAGTTTTCATTTTTCTGGGATAATTGCCCATGATTGTAATTGTTGAGTTAAGTGGTTGTTGTATGGTTAGTTTTATAAGAAGCCAACAAACTCTTTCCCACAGTGACACTACCACTTTGACCTAGCTCATTTTATGGTTCTTCTTTTTGAAATTGCTTTCAAAAAGCATTGTGGGAGCTGGGTGTGGTGGTAGACACCTGTAATCCCAGCACATGGAAGCCTGAGGCAGGAGGTACCACGTTTGAGGACGGCCTGGGCTACACAGTAAATTTCAGACTAACCTGGGCTTCAGGGTGAGATCCTGTCTCAAAATGTAACAAACAAATGGCCCGGCGCCAGTAACTCACATCTGTAATCCTAGATACGCAGGAGGTAGAGATCAGGAGGATTGCAGTTCAAAGCCAGCCCCTATCTCAAAAAAATCCTTCACAAAGAAAGGGCTGGTGGAGTGACTCAAAGCAGTAGAGCACCAGCTAGCAAGCATGAGGCCCTGAGTTCAGACCCCACTACCACCAAAAAAAAACCCCAAAACAACAACAAAAAATGTATTGTGCTAATACTTCACTAATCAAAATGTAATGAGAATATATATATAGAGAGAGAGAGAACATAAGAATCCATAGCCACATTCTATCAAGCACTGGCTGTTGAAATTTCTAACTTCTATCAATTTAATAATATAATTTAATATTATATTAACCTTTTGTTATGACTAGACCTTTTAAACTTCTTTTCTCCCTGTTGGTTTTGCAATATCAAACCAAATCACCCCCTTCTCTGCTCCAGAACTACACCAGCAGCTCTTCAGCTTTGATTGGTGCTCTAGATAAAATTGCTTTTATCTCATTCTCTGGGCTTTGAAGACTACCAACCTTTTAGCAGCTTCTAATTTTTTTGTTCTGTTTTGTTTTCTTACAAACACATTTACTTATCATAGAAAATGTGGAAAAAATTTAAAAACATTGAGAAGAAAATTTAAATAATCTATTATTCTATCAACTGTTGTATATATTTGAAAATTTTTTTTGCAATTAGGTTTTTGAAAATTAGAATAATTTACATATAATACTATAATCTGGATTTTTTTTTTTTTTTTGGTTGTGGTGGTACTGGAGTTTGAACTCAGGATTTTGAGCTTAGGCAGGTGCTTTACCACTTGAACCACACTCCCAGCCTTTGTGCTCTGGACTTACACAGTGATCTTATTTTAAGCTTCCCACCTTAGCTGAGAAGACAGTCTCACATCACCACAGTCAGCTTTTTTACTCCCATTGAGATGGGGACTCACAAACACCTTTGCCCAGGTTGGCCTCAAACCTCCATCTTCCCACCTCCCAAATAGCTAGGATTATAGGTATGAGCCAGAGGCGCCCAGCTACTTTTTTTTGAGATAAGGTCTAGTCACTATGTAGCTCATGCTGGCCTAGAATTCTTCATCCTGTAGCCTTCACCTCCTGAGTGCTCAGATTATAGGTTTGTGTCACCATACCCAGCTTACAGGATTTATTGTACCCTTTAGACATGGGAATGACTGGAGATACAGGTTGGTGGTTAGAGTGCTTGCTTAGTATGTGCAAGGACCTGGGCTGCATTCCCATGAGAAAAAGAAGAAGAAGAAAAAAAGACATTTCTAGGGCAGGGGAGTGAGACTCCTGCTTAACAATATTCTATACGTAACTTTTTGAACTATTAAATATACTTCTCAATCATGATTTTTAATAGCTAAATAGTACTCCATATTGTTGTCTTACACTGTAATCTATTTAATCAATTTCCTCTTGTAATGTTTGTGGCATTTCCACAGCATTTTTTACCCATGAAAAGACAAGAAGAGAGAAGAATTAAACCAGGTTTTTTGACATTTTGGAGGTTACTTCCTAATGAGAATTATTATAATTTTTTTCTGGACCTTTCTCCAGCCTTCCCTCTATTTTTAGCACCAATCTGCTTTCATTCTTTACTTGCTTCCACACCTCTCTCTTCATTGTCTCCAAAAGAATGTTCATTCTTTTCGCTAGCCTCAAAGGAAACTTATAAATTATGACGATCTGAGCCCCATGAGATGGATGTGTTCTAGCATATCTTAATTTGCTATTCACAACACTTTTTGCACTTTATTTTCGAAAATTTTATACTTAAGATAACAGTCCTATTCTCTTTTTTAAATAATGAAATGAATAATCAAACTCGGCAAATATAGTTTTGGGGTCTAAGTGTAGATTTTAGAAGTTGTAGATTTTTGTCAAAACCTTGTTTCTGTGGACTCTTGATGGGCATTGGAAATATGACCTGAATAAGGAACTATTGTGAACACATAGCAGTAACATAAATAACGCGAATGTGTGTACTCAAGTAGTCAAGTTTAAGCTATTACATACTCTCTCTCTGTAATTCGTCTGAATTTCTTTGCTTCGCTTTGCAGGCAATTTTTTTTCTGGTTCCTCCTCATTGCCTTGACCTCTAAGCATCGGAGAGTGCTAAGATTCAGTCCTCAGAATTCTTCCCCTTTCCCCCTTGTGCTTACTCCACTGCCATGGTCTGGTTTGCCTGCTTCAAAGGCAATCCTCGACGCGTGTCTT